GAAGAGGGTATACATGCTGAAGTAGCGGCACAGCTCACGGACAACTCGTCAGGCTTCGACATGAGTGCATATGTTTCGACATGAGCACGCCCCTAGCAAGTTGCATACAGTGCATCACCTACTAAGCTCACTCCATCAGCGCCGCGTCTTCTAACGTATACGCATGAATTTGCCTTTGCACAGGGATTTTTTTCTTCGTGCTCGCTCAGCACGGGACCGCGCAAAGTTGTGAAGACTATTTTGTCGAGCCAATGCGGCGGCGGCAAGTTGTTTTCATTTTCACGAGCTATACGCATTTTCAGTCTCGCGCAGAGGAGCGCGGCAGCGCACGGCGTGGTTGGTTCGCTTACGTGAACGGTTACAGCGCTAAATCGCTAAGCCACACGTACTGCCATGCAGGCAGCACATGATTTAGATTGATTGAGATATTTATCATTGGTAGGTTTGTTGCGTTGACTTGCCTGCGCCGTTCGTTGGAAGCCGCCGTCACCCTCCCATGAATTTCCATGCAGGCATCATAGCACTTGTGCCGAAGTCAGGGTAATCACTGCATGATCTACTGGGGCTCTTATGGCAAATGCGCAAAATCGTAAGTTTTTCACAAAATCATATGCGAATAATAGGCTTGTGCGAATAGTGAATTTTAGGTTCAAAGCAAATAGTGATTTTGGTTGAATAATTTCGTATTGAATTCAAATAGTATATATGACATATAAAGAAAAATGGGCATATTTATTGTGACCTAACTAACCTGGCCAATATTTTTTTAAAAATAAAATAAGGCCTCTATGTAAATTCTCTTTTTTGCATTCAAAAGAAGTCAAAAGAACTTTAAGTAGTATCAAGATTTTAATTTCAGCATGATGCGAGTCATAACCCTTAAAATATAGAACATTTCAAGATTTATTATACTTAGAGCTTATAAGCCATCTTAACACATGACATCGCCTCATCACTTAATAACCACGATCAAGTCTATGCCATTTTTATTGATTACTGCAAAGCTTTTGACAAGGTATGTCATAAAAAACTTCTGCTCAAACTTCGTAACCTTTTTACAGGGCTATATGCTGACAAATTACTTGTTTGTAATACGGATTATTTGCACCTGAGGAGTCAGTTTGTTCCCTACAACCACGAACAGTCGTCACAAGCTCATATTTTCTCAGGTGTTCCACAAGGCTCTGTCTTGGGACACCTTTTATTCATCATTTACATCAACGATGTTATTCAGGTTGTCATTAACACTCCAGTTAAGCTCCGCCTATACGCTGATGACTGTGTATTTTATTCCAATGTACGTAGTGTCACTGACTAAGTTTTGTTGAAGGATGTGTTTTCTTCCTTTTGAGAATGGAGCAGAACTTGGCAAATGGAGCTTAATTTTCAGGAAACGGTGACAATAACATTTACAATTAAAAAGGAGCCGTTGAAATTTAGATATGGCGACTCCAATCACACACTAGAAAAAGTTCAGGAATTTAAGTATCTTGGTGTTATATTCTCTCCAAACTTGAAATGGCACAAACACATCGACCTTATTTCTGCAAAATCGCTTAAGAAATTAGGTTACTTAAGAAGAACGCTAAAGGGCACCACAAAAGAATGCAAGCTTGTAGCCTTCAAAACACTGGTCAGGTTTCTTCTTGAATATGCGTCTGTTGTGTGGCCACCACATCTTGCAATTGACATGAATAAACTTGAGGCCGTCCAGTGAAAAGCGATTAGATTCATTTTTAACCGTTATGACCATGATTTCTCCCCTTCAGAGTACTACCATGCTTTATTGCTAAACCGTTCATAACACAGACGTATGTGGGATCAGCTTACCATGCTACATAACATCGTGCACAATTCCGTCCGCATAGCCACACCCATTTCGTTCACCAATCATCCTACCCATGTGACTCGCCGATTCAATCCGTTAAACATTGTGCCATTCAGATGTTTTATTGATTGTTATAAATACTCTTCTTTTTCGTGCACAGTTGACACTTGGAATAATCTGGACACTACTTTGAAACGACTACCACATGCGCTGTTTGTTAAACAAGTGTCCAATTATGTAATTTGATGTTTTTAATTTGGCTGTTGTTCCTTTTGTTTTATCATTTATTGTTTGTTGAACAGGTGTCTAATTACATAATTTTATGTTTTTTATTTCTGCTGTTTTTGTTCGTTTATTGTAACCACTCCTGCAATGTCTCAAACATGAGACAGCAGTATCTGTATAAAAAAAAACAAACTAGCTTTTAAGCTTAATAAAATGAATTGATTTAAAAGTAATATTTTCACTTAAAGGGGTCGTGTGACACTTTTTCAAGTAGCCATGGAATGGACTCACTAAAGAAGCTTATTTATCGCCTCATGAATTCACCACCGCAAATATTTTTAAAATTCGTCCAGAACGCGCAGAGTTGCAAAGATTTCTTGCACACTGCTAGTGCATTCTCTCTTCTCATCCCGATGCAAGCACTGGAAGTTAAGCATAGAGGGATGGCATGGGAAAAGAAAATACGTCACACGTGCTTTCTGAGCTTGTGGAGTCATTTATTTGTCGAGAGAAGAAAGCAATTTATAGCTGACTTTGAGAATTTATTGTGAATCGCAAGCTGCGTGCTGTGCTATAATACTTGACTTGCGTGTCCACGGTAGCCTCGACTACTGATGGGCAGCATTTTCTGACAATGCTCATAAAATGTTGCGAGGCCCCTTTAAATTTGAAGGGGGGCGTCGCGGCAGAGCAGATTTCTTGTGAATAAGTGCTTTCACGGTTCAGCATTTCTACACTGCAGTGAAACCACCTTTACAGGCATTACATTGGAATCAATATGCATTTATTTGTTCCTTGCGAATACTTCGAAATTTTATTTAATTTAAATTCGAAGCGTACTGAATTCAAATACCCTAATATTTATTTGAGTATTTGGAGCATTTAAATAATCACACAAACCTACAGACGAATATTCGTGAACATCGAATATTCAAAATTTTCAAATATGTGGTTATGGAATTGAATACGAATATTACAAATGCAACATTCGCAGAATATTCGAAACTTTAGAATATTCGCACACTTCTAATATTTATTCATTTAAATATTTTGAAATTTTTCGTAATTTAAATTCAAATCAAAGCAAATTAAGATACTCTACTATTTTTCCGATATTCGATGTGTTCGAACATTCACACAAGCCTAGAATTGACGTTTGATTACATGGGAATAAAGAAACTAGCCGGACACCTTGATTGGTTTGATAGGACAAGTCGCATGTAATACCTCTATGGTCATAGTAAAAAACAACTCAAAAACAACAAGGACGAGACAGATGAAACAGGACAGCACTTGACCTGTTTCATTTTTTCCGCCCGTGTTATTTTCGCACTGTTTCTTTACTGCGAATGTGTGCCAACAAGCTCATGCTTCTCAAACTGATATGATCTCAATTAGGCCACACTGTTGTGCATTAAAAATTACAAAAGTCCTACGTATACTTCTCCTGATCCAGAAGTATTTCGCTTTTTAAATGTGAAATCTTTGAAACAATTCCAAAAGAACGCCAGGGCTGCACAAATAACTGCCACTACAAAGCGGGTCTTTCAGTCTTTCAGTATGGATCTACAAGATGCGCGTGGTGATTGGCCTTTGATGTCAGCGGGAGAATGAAATGTGAAGAAAAACATTTCTTCGCATCATCTGCTCGAGTTTTCAACTTTGAAGACTAATAATGTCAGTTTTTGGGCACCAATTTTCGTAATCCTTTTTGGCATTCATGATGACTTGCATGCTAGCTCTAAATAAGGCAGTCGCAAAGCCGTCATAAGGCCCCTTTAATCTAGTTAGTGATCAAATCATGCTGCTGTTTCGCTCTCATGGCTTTCATGACTCCTGCCATCCTAAAAGCTGCAAGCACCTAGGGTACGTCCCGCCATCCTAACAACGCAACCAAGGTTTTTATTTTATCAGTGCGATTTGTGGCAGTGCCTGTGCTCATGTGTCTGGGGTAGAACCACTGTAGGTGGGCTTGTCTGAATCTTTGAATACTTTGAATATTCTAAAGAATGTTACAGTGTTCTAATTCGCTTCGTTTCGAATTTATGATATCGGAAATATCGAAGTATTCGAAATGAACGAAGAGGTGTATGATAGAAAACTGGGCGAGTTGAAAATACATTGTGGCTAACAGTTCAAAACCACAGACAGGCTTCAACTCTTATGTCGGTGGTTTCGTGCTGTTGGCCACAATGAATAATTGTATATTATATCGCATGTAATTTTCGTAAAGGTGGTTTCACCGCAGTGAAGGGGTGCTAAGCTGTGCAAGCACCTATCCAAAAAAAGTTTGCAACGCCATGAAGTTTCACCTTAAGGTCAAATAAACACACTATTACCCTCGCATTGATTCATCATTTTTAAGTTTAAGAGCTTTTTATAGTGGTTTATGTCCAAACATAGTAAATTATAAAACTTAGCATAATTGACAGGTCATCACTTGCATACTACCGAAATTCAAAACCTGCTAGTACTATTCAGTTGTTTCCACTTCCTCTCAACTGAAAAAATCGCATTTGCGCAGGTCTTGTTTTAATTAAAAAAATATTGTGTAGGTTAGTTCGGTTATGGCCAATACGCCCATTTTAATTTATAATATGTGATATCTACTTTTCAATCTCGATTAGAAATTAATTGACCAAAATCATCATTCACTTCAAATCTAAAATTCACTGTTCGAACAAGGCTAATTGTAGAGTATAGTTCGTTATCAGTGTGCAGCATAAAGTTTGCTGTCATGAGAGAAAAAAAAAAAAAGGAGATTTGAGTTTTACTGTGCTGATTGAAGTGCTCTGACGTTGAAGGCTTTGGATAAGCTTCCCGGTGCCGCATAAGCATACTACGTAGACGGCCAACGGACAGCTGCATGTGATTAAATGCAGTCTTGTAGGTCTCGCATTTCTCGTTCACCAAGGGTAATCCTAGCTTGTGAACAATTTAAATAGCCATGGCCAAAGTAGATTATGTTCTCTTGATGATCCATTGGCAGCACAAATTTAGTGACACACCGTGTACCAAGGGTGCTATGGACCAATATATCATACACGCCTTCTCACCTAATGCCTGGCCTCCTCAGCTCATGAGGCATGCTGGCGATCGCAGAGCTCTCATGGGTGTGCTCACTGATTTGAGCTTTTATCAGGGTAGACCTCCGAGATCCCATGCTGACAAGTCGCGCGCAGTCTCTGAGGCCATCACACAGTACGCCTTGCAGCACGCAAGCCATCTGGCAACAGAGACGAAGATTGCAGAGTGGTTCATATCTGCTCTGACAGGTGACGCCATCCTGCCAGCCGATCTTTCACGCATTCTACAGCTAATGACAGCCAATAAGACCAGCAGTCATGGTGACGTCAAGTGGCCAGGGCATGTCGCTCTGTAAATGGGCGGTTTAAAGCGTGCTTTATCGAGTGAAAGCGATCTGCACCGATCTGCAGCCATTTACAGCTTTAAAGCATTGTAATAAATCACGCAGTTTACGCAGAGAGCTCGAATCAGTCTCTAAATGACCCTTAGGACTTGGTCTACCGGCCCAATGCGTTTGTATAAAATCTCCAAAACAGTTTCAGGGTACCTTTAACAAGAACTGACAAATGCCAAGGAAAGTACAGGGGACGCAGTTCATTGCAGTTTTGAATGTGGAAAAGGAAAGCAGATGAAAAGACAACTTGCTGCTGGCAGGAACTGAGCCTTCAGCCTTTGAATAATGTGTACAATGCTCTACCAACTGAGCTTTGGTGATGGTTGTAATCTCGCATACTTTATTAAGTGTATATGGGCTCTTTTAAACCCAGGAGTACTAGCGTTGCTTGTAGCCATGAGGACAAGTGTGGAACACATTTTTTTTTTTTTTTGCCTGCTTGCATCACGTGGCATGTGATCCTTTGTTACTGTGTTAAATGATGTCTATTGCAATAATAGTCAATTATCTTGTTTTTATGTAATGCAAGTCTTTTAATACTTCTTCATAATAAAAACCATGTTTGTATCTTTATGTACTATTGCTTTGTCCTGCCTGTGCTGCTGTTTAGTCATGTTTTTTGGGGTTGAAGGGGCTGACCAAACTGCCTTTTAGTAGCTTTCTTTCTGTCATACCCAGCCACAAATCCACATCTACCGTGTACTATAGTGTTGAATAAACTGAAACTCAAGCCCTAGCATTAGGAGTGGCCCTTCTTCAGCAGTGGACGTAAAAAATAGGCTGGTCGTGATGCCGAGAGACTTTAAACAGGAGCTGCAGTGCATGCATTGACATGTCTGAGTCGCAGAGGATGATCCTGTCAAAACCCATGAGCAGGTCTTTTATCTGTTGATTATGAATGTGAAGTATAGTAATAAATCAGTCATGGTATGTGTACTGTCTGCCGCAGAAGTTTGCGGGATGTGCAGCATGTGTTGGAGCATCGGAAAACCGCATCAATGCATCGCCTTCTGTGTCGCGGTGGGTGTTGAGGTTATTGGCCTCGGTGATTAGCGATGGCATGCTCAGACAACGCATCGTTGCCGAATCTTGTTGTGGTCAACGCTCCGCCACGTGCTGTACATCTCACAAACTTTTGCAGCTGAGGGTACAAGCTGCTGCATATGCTTGAAGTAGCATTTAAAACTATATTTGTCTCTGCACAATGCTCCAGGAAAAGGAATATGGCCCTGTGCATTCTCCGTCGAATAGACCTCTGCTGATTTCGCGTCTTTGTGCTTTACGAAGCTAAGGTTGTTGGAACTCCACTTCAGATGACCTGATCTTAGATACATGGTATTTGAACATAATCGCAAAACTCTGAAGTGCAGTTTGTAATGTGGGGGTTTTCCATGGCTGTTCCAACGCTAAGCTTATACCGTCAACTCTTGTTCTTGATGTTTCAAATGTTATTGATATAGCAAGCACTCTTTTTCAAGCATGGCTAAGTGTGATCTCAACAGCAACTGGCTGACCATTAGAATCATATCTTGAGCTCAGCTTTGCCACATGGCCTCAGCAGCAGTAATATAGTAAACATTAGCACTCTGTTTATACATCTTCCTTGACATGAAATCCTTATTAACTTGACTTTGTCAAATTCTGTTGATGATGACTTCTGATGTGAACTAGCCCTAGAGGCTCGTTTCATCTCTGTGGACGCATTCACGTTAAAGTGCTCATGTGGAATTGTGGTTTCAAGCTAAAGGCACAGCCCTGAAGATTGGGATGTTAACAGTGTACATAAAAAAGGGTTGAGAATAAACGTGGGGTGTTGCCTAACTCTGCAAGCTTCTTTATGACACAACTGTCTGGGTTTATAATTGCATTTTCACTTGTGGGATTTTGGGATGGGCAAACTGAGTTGGCACATTATCGTGGTAATCTTACAAGACATTCTCATTGGTATATTCTTACCACTGGAAATTATATAGAACATGATATTTAATGTTATAACGGATTGTTATTATGCTTGGTGTTTTTTAAAATACTTTTTTGACAGGTCCACATCATCACAACAGTGTTCAGTGGTAATCACTCTGCTGCTGTGTGAAGGTCCACATGTTTGGTTACTCTGTATATCATGAAAATTTTTTATCTTTTGGGTAATGTTTCACTGACATGTAAACAAATGTGCGCTTCTGTTGTCTGGGGAACAATAAACTGCACCACTTCCAACTTTTGCTTTTGTGATGTTTTATTACCCTTTTCATAATGTCATAAGTATGTTATCTACGCTCTTTAAGTTTGCTAAAAGTTACTTGAATAACATGGCACTTTCAATGCTTGCCTTGCCATGGTTTTTCGATATCGACCATGTTATGCCTGTTCACGTGGAGTTGAGACTGCGTCACAGTCATCGTTTTTTATGCATTTGTTGGGCTGATGTTGTTCAGTTGATGTTTGATTTTAGGGCACATGCAGCAAGATCGCAAATCTAGTGCTTGATGAAAAAAAAAAGTCAACGATCATATGAAAAATGTAGTCTTGCAAGACAACTGCCCACGTTCACCCAGTGTAGCTATTGTTCCACACACTTCAGAGTTGAAGGGAACAGTGGGTATGGATTGTGCAGTAGTATTACTCTCCATCGCTAATCGCTAGATGAATATGGTCTGTCTGTCATTGATCCCAGAGTCTGCACCACTGGCTCAGCGATGGGTATTCACCTATCCAGCATGGTGCTCCTCACATTGTTACAGCATCTGTGTGCATCAGCATGCAAGTCACATCAAAATGGTTTTCTAGGATACGCATACCTCGCAGACATTTGTTTCTACTTAAATCATAAATTCGGTTGTCGCAGTTGCTGCAACTATAGATTCGTGGTAACCGTGGCAACTGGTTCAGTTATAGCAGGTAGTGGGCTCCCAAGAGGTGCCTGAGTAGGGTCCCCTATGTTAGAAACATCGATTACAGAATTCCTTTTCTGTGCTAGTAGGTGGCTTAAGCGCTTGAGTATTAGGTGCAGAGCACATCTATTCTCAAGCAAAAATATTGGCTCTCCGGTGGCACGTGAAGTTAAGACTCTACATCTCTCGTCTACTGTGCAGTTGCTTGGCCACAAAGCAATTGTGCCAGTTTTATTCGACTTTCTTTGTCTGAGTGACCTGTAGGTCCTAACCTGTGTATTCACTTGTATTCTTCTAACTGCCCCGCTGTGGTAGTCTAGTGGCTAAGGTACTCGATTGCTGACCCGCAGGTGGCGGGATCAAAATGCGGCTGTGATAGCTGCATTTTCGATGCAGGCAAAAATGCTGTCGGCCCGTGTGCTCAGATTTGGGTGCACATTAAAGAACCCCAGATAGTCGAAATTTCCGGAACCCTCCGCTATGGTGTCTCTCATAATCGTATGGTGTTTTTAGGAAGTTAAACTCCACATATAGATCATCTATTCTTCTAACTACATTCTGTACTTATCATTCTGATATGCATTCTATACTTTTTCTTTGGCCAGTGATGACTCTGTTGCTGCTGTGATTGCGGCTTTTTAAGCTGATGCCAGTGTGAGGTTCCTACTTTTCGTCTTTGACTGCATTAACTTCTGCCTCATTTCGGAACTTGGAAGGTTTCATTAGAATGGTGAAGTTTCTTAATAACAAAACTCTAGAAATTGTATATTGTGTCGTAAAGAAACATTTCATGAAATGTATGCATAGTCAAATGTGAACAGCATACAATACTAAAAAAAAAAAGCTGTCGCACATAAATTTGTTTAGTATACACAGGTCATAACAGCTTGGTATGAAATGACACTTCTTATCTATGGTATTTTTATATAGAAAAAAACATTCATAATTCTTAAGCAGGTTCTCTTCAACAATTTTAATATCTCTAGGATCTTGCTGCATTGGTTTGGAAACTTTGGCAACTGTTGATCGCTCGAAATGGTCTAATTGCTCTTTTATCTTTCAGCTGCTGTCTGCCCACAGCCTTATCGTTTTGCTTCTAAAGGTACTTTTAAGGGACCCTGCAACACTTTTACAAGTAATGATCATTGAACAAGTTCATTACCTCACTAATTGACTGCCACAAAATTTTTTAAGAATAGGCTGAAAGGACCCTGCGACACTTTTTGAGCATGGTCAAAAAATGTGACCATTCTGTAGTCGATGCTCCCAAGAGCACACAAGCCAAATAGTATAGTGCCGCACACGGCCTGGAATTGACGATAAATTCTCAACGTCTGTGAAAAAATTCACTTTCCATCTCTCGGCAAAAAACACTACAGGGTCAAAAATCGGTGCGTCACAAGCCCTAGTCACGCCATTCGAGCAAGGTGCTCTTCGGAGTCACTGGGAGTGCCACAAAAGGCCCCGAACTGTCCGCACGTGTGTACGAGATCGCACTAAAAAGTTGCAAATTCGAAGAATCAATGAAAAAAGTGGTAAAGGTTGAGATGCGTGCGTGATTTACCTTCTTCCCCCGTTTCACCCCTATGTGCTGAGGTTCGACCGCTTACGTTGCGACGAGAGGAGAAATTGCAACGTGCGACAAATCTTCTTAACTCCGCTTGTTTGGGACGAATTCTAAAGGTTTTCGCAGCAGTCAATTCTTGAGGCAATTAGCTGCTTTTCTAAATTCATTCCATGGTGCTTAATTCATTCCGTGGCTACTTAAAAAAAAGTGACCCGCCATGGTGGTCTAGTGGCTGAGGCACTCTGCTGCTGACTCGCAGGTCACGAGATCGAAGCCCGGCAGCGGTGACCGCATTTTAGATTGAGGCGAAAATGCTTGAGGCCTGTGGGCTTAGATTTAAGTGCACCTTAAACTATCCCGGGTGGTCAAAATTTCTTGAGCCCTCCACTATGGCGT